TAGTAGGGTCTAGTCTAGTTAATCAACTCGTGCATTGAGGGTGGCAAGAATGCAGAATTCTTTCAGCCCCCAGGCAAGAGTGAAAGACGAGAAGAGTAAACAAGCATGAAGCCAGAAAACATCTAGGTTGAGTTGGTATCATACAAGAAGACACTTCTTCTGATGGATGAGAAGATTGTTTTCTAACCTAGAGTTCAATAGGTCATATTGTCACATGTGTTTTAAATCTTCATATCCTGTTAACTCTGGTATAAGAGGCGAGGCCTAACTATCAGCGTGGTCTTTTGTGCTTTGCCTCTCATCCGCACAGACCCAGGCTTCTCTCTCTGCCTGTCTTTTATATGTATTCTGTTTTATATATTAAACCTTCTTTTATATCTATCTAAGTTTGTAATTTCCTTCCTTTCATTGAGCGACTGTTTAAGGAAACCTGGCTGAACTAGCATAACAGACATACAGCCAAGAAACACACGAATTGGAAGACTGCTTCCCTTAAATGTAATCAAAACTGGGGCACTGCCATTACTCCCTTCACGAGCTTTGAAACGCTTTACTTCAACTACTTCTCCTCCTTTTAAGTTTTCCTCAATTTCTTTATCAGTCAGACTTCCAGCCACATTATAGATGACACCTTTAATCACATCCCTTTGTTCAGAGAGAGACATTTCCACTTTTTTCCCACATATCTTCCCAATTTTCTGGGCCTTAGCCACTTGCTCCTTGTTGGAGCAAAACACCAACAAAGCTCCATTTTCAAGAGTTTGAGCCTTTAGATTTTCCCCAATTGCTCTTAATGACTCAGCGATCTTCAGAGGGTTCATTGCCCTGAACCCGTCACCAGTTTGCTCTTTCAGCTTGAAAATCACTTTAAACTCCGCCACAGATTTAGCCATTTTAAGCAGTCTACCTTCGTCCTTTTCTAAAGAGTCTTCCCGTTTTCTCGATACCTTATCCCTTTCACCACCCCCTGACGCGGAGGACATGACCCGAGGTCTAACGAAACATATTAAGTAAAGTCAATACTCCAAGGTCCGTTATAAGTGCAAAGTCGTAACTTACGAACGTCAAGACAAGTTGTCATACAGTAAAATAACAAAAGGAGACGCCGAAAAAGAACTTTTCGAATTTCCCTCCCGGCGTGCTCTCCTGACGCTCACTCGGCCGCAGTGTTCCCGCATCCAGCGGCTCTGAGCTGGACGCAGGAATCGCTCACCGGGAACCGCTCACAACACAACACGGTGAGCGCGTAGCCGCAACGTGACCATGTACCCAAGACCATAAACGCGCACAGGACCATGCATGTCTTTTCGTAATTTGTGCACCCAATAAATACACCGCTGCAGAAAACAGTCCGCGTCTCCCCTCTCCTCTAAATTAAAGCTCGGGTACCTACATTTTCCATTGCATTAAAAGTTCATGTTTGAGCCCAAAAGTAAAATGTTGTGAACAGATTAAACAGATTTAGAGCCAGCTAATGGCTGACAATATGCATTTCAGAAATGTTTACCAATTCTCATCCCTGTAACAAACAATAGTATTGTCTGTGCCCACCTCCTTCACTCTGAGACATGTTTATTACTCTGTTTAATGTAGACTATTGCTCTTTATTTTATTGTTGAAACTGCAGACATCCTGATCCTCTACAGTATTTGCTTCCACATACTGTACAAACCAGGGGTCGGCAACCTTTAGTGCCCCTAAAGTGGCTCCTGGAGCCTTTTCAAAAATGTCTGAAAATGGAGTGTGAGGGCTATATTTTATTTCTAGTTTGAATGTGGTTTCTGTAGGAGGAAAAACATTCTTGACGTTTTTCAATGGTGCAAAAACTTGTATAAGTAATATTCAATTTTAACTGTGTGTGCGCATGGATCCCAAAGATAAAGAGAGAGAGTCGATAAGACTGGACTAAGAATGAGAATGAACATTTGCTTTCAGTCAATGAGGAAGGACTGCTTCATGTTTGCGATGTAATGAAAAGTTTTGTTGCAACAGGAGGAACAATGAAGCTTTAAACACCGTTCACTGAAAGATTCATTCATCATAAAGTCAGAGCACCTATTTTCAGACTTCAAATACCTTCGCAAAGACGGTGAAAGAAAAGGCCATTAAGGACATTCAGCTCCAGCAAACTTCAGCCTGTGATGTGATCGATTTGAACAGACAGTGATGCAGGTGAACTCGGAGCCAAAAAGCAGATTTATTTACTGTATTTGTACAATTGCATGAAGGTTAAACTTAAAGCAGAGTTGTCACGTGGTGCGTCATTCTCTCCAGGACACGCTGCAATGAAAATACACATTTGATAATTATGAATGGTTTTTATGTGTTTGTAGCCTTTACTTTGTCATTTAGATATTGGGCTAATATAGCTAATATAGCTAATGTAGCTAAGGTAGCTAATGTAGTTAATGTAGCTAATACAGCTTCAGCCCCTGTTACCTTCATATAAGCCTTATACAACGCTGTTTTGTTTTTTTTGCGGCTCCAGACAGATGTTGTTTTTTGTTTTTTTGTCAAATATGGCTCCTTGAACCTTTTGAGTTGCCTGGGCCGCTAAGAAGGAAAAAATGCTCGGGCCGTTTTTTTGTCACAGTCCAGCCCTGCCCCCGCCTCCCTCTACCTCTCCATCTTGCTCCCTCCCTCCCCTCCACTCCTCACTGTCTTTCCGACTCACCCCCTCCCTGACCCTGCCCCCCTCTGATATCCAATTTGGGACGGTAGTCGGAGGTGCTCATCCCGTGAAAAAAATCTGTGTTTTATACAAAGTGTGTATGTGTATATCCAATTGTCTATGAAACTGTGTGTTATTGCTCTCTGCTGTTTCTTGCTTGCACACAGCGCCGCAAATGTCAAAGTGGCACGCTCTCTGCCAAAACAATTTCCAAGTGGTAACTTTTGTTTGTTACTAAGGTGGCAATAAAAATGATTCTGATTCTGAAAGCCAAACACAAACTCTTGCCTGAAGCCGTTCAAGAGAGGTTCAAATTTGTATCACAATCGACCCACAGAAGAAAATATGATTTAAAAACTGCACTTGCAAGAATGTAGTGGTTTACTTTGATTGTCAATAAGAACTTTCACAGGAGCCGAGAATAAAAATTCATATAATGCGTTTATTAACTCAATTAACAATACATGGGAGACCCGTCAATCCTGCATGGAGCTCTGCGCAGAAGAAGCTCCCCGTGCTTCCTTTCTTTCCCTTTTAACTGCTCCTGTCAATACTAAATATGGAATCTTGGCTGCGACCGAATAACAGGATCCAGATGTTTCCCTAATGACTATTCCCAAACATCCTCCCTTACCACAGCGTTCAGGTCATCCCGACCTAGTGCTTCCTAAACATATCCCAAAAGAACATATTGCCGTGTTCAGGTCATCACGACCTAGTGCTTTATCCGAAAAAGAACATTCCATTGCACTTAGACATACTCATAGCTGTAGGGTGAGGAAAAGGTGAGCGCCAATCGGGCGTGAATAGCAGACCCTTTCCGTAAACATGCCCTCCCTAGCTCCTGAGACTTCAAAGTAATTGCGGGTTCAATTAAAGGCTAACATTCACCAGGAACGCCGCAACGAGACCCAGAGGGGCAATAAAACAACAGAACAGGACATCTGTGTGCCCTCCTGCCAGACGGAGATCAGGAATCATTCATCAGCAATCGCTCAGGGGACATTCCACAACCTGAGACTCTCCCACGGCACTCTGGCGCCCCCCAGTGGACACTGAACGCCATCACACCCGGCCCGGACATTCTGTAGACCAGCCCGGACTCAGGGTTATTCCGATAAGTCTGTACCGCGTCCTACATGTGTGTATCAGTGGCAAATAATGAAATGTGGTGTGTGTTTGTACATGTGTTATGATCATCTGTATTAATCCTGTGTGTTCCCATTATAACTCATCTGTTGTGGGGAGGCTGTCCAAGGCAGACGCACAAATATAACGTCACGGACACGCCCACTTTGACCACAACAAAACCAGTCCACAAACCTAGAGACTGCCTCTTGTCCACTCCTGAAATCACCATTCCAGCTCTCCCTGGCCATCTGCGTCCCGCGGTACGTGTCTCCAACTACGGCCGCGCCAGCACGCATCGGGCCTCCTACTCCGCAAAACACACTCTCCTCGGGCTCGGGACCTTATGAACTGTTCCATCACCAGCCTCTTTTTCTTGGCTCTGGACTCTACGCGCGCAACCCATTCCGGACTGGGCTGCATACGCGTGGATCAGCAGCTGGACCAACTCGCTGGCTTCGTACCTCCCGCCTGCCCAGACAAAGAAACCACGTGGGCTGATTCCCCAACCCAAATCCTTTCTCCATCCTCTACGCTCCTACAAAGTAAGACTGTTCTTGTTAAATGTGTGATTTGAATGAAATGTATACCACTTCTGCTTTAATGTGACCAGAAATCCCCTTCGTTATATTTTTACCTTCATTTTTGTAATCAATAAACCCCCTTTTCTTTAACTCAATCCTATCAGAGTCGTGTTGTTAGATTTCGGTATATCCCTGGCCGATTTACGAATTAACTACCTTTTGATTATAAGACTGACTCGAGGCAAAGTTGGTTTGGATCTGTCTTAGACCCTCAAACGTCGACTGGTGCCCAAAATAAATAAGACAGACCCATTGGTGGAACGGCGAGTTTCTGATCCGGAGACTAGCCGCTCCACACTACTAAATTTATAGCTTACTGTTATATTATTACCCTACATAGCTAAACATTCTACCACATATTAATTCCCCCCCTTTCGGGGCTCTCAGCCATGAATTTCCTTCAATAACCTCCCCTTAGCCTTAGCAACGTAGTTACATGAGTTACACAATAATGTCAAACACTTAGTAAATGAGATAAAATGAGATAACATAACTTTCAAACACTTGATACATGATACAAAACAATATCACTCTTGAGTGTAGGCGCTGGCAGAACTTGGCTCGCACTTGCATTGTACATTATTTTGATTAAACATGAACTTAAGATGGACGAGTGGTCAAAAAGTAGGTATACTGTCACAGTCCATGTTCTTTTCATCGTCCAACGAGTCGTCCTCCGCTAACCAGTCCTTGATGGGGAACTGCTCTGGTCGGCTACTCTTGCTCTCCGCATTCAGCACTAACATCTGTCTTGTTACCCCTCGCACCACTACTGCTCTCAATACCGGAATGCAACAGCAGAGGACAAGACTTATTGCCACAATGCAAATAATAACTGGTACTCCAATCTTCACCAACCCCAGTTTCCATGATCCTAAAGTCTGCTGTAGCCAGCCCAGCCAGTCCAACTCTGCATCCCTTCCAGCATTCTTCTTCATCTCCAACCTTAGAGCCTTGATTTTCCCCATTGCCTGTGTGAAAGCTCCTCCTACTCCTGTATGATCGGGAATAAATGTACAACAGTATTCACCCACTAGGGCACAGACCCCTGAGGTCTCTGCCAAAACCCAGTCTAAGGCCTGTCTATTCTGCCAGGCTACAGCACTAGTTGCATGCAACTGCTCTCCCAGGGCTGACATGGCACTATCCGTGTAATTGATGAACTGCTGGAAATTGTAGTGAATGTAGTTTATCCACTCAGTGTTTTTATTTGTGGAGATCCAGGGCAAAATGGATTCAAACCCTGACTTAATTTCAGATCTTGCCTTAAACTCCTCTGGGATCCCTCTAGGCTGCCCAATACTGTCTAAATACACACCAGGGTCTGGTCGGAACGCCCTCTTCACCCTCTTACTATCACTTGTTTCCTCGCCCTGTGGGAAAACAATGAGCTCCTGCACCACCTGCACTCTGGCGCATCTTCCGGACCAGTTACCTGGAAGAACAGGAAACAGTACTTGGCCTCCACACCACCAAAAGTGATCGGAGAGAGGCGTTACCTGACTATGGAACGGGCATGCAGGGACATACACAGTCTCCAATTGGGGTCCCTTAATCTGGACAGCTCGCTTCAGGGTAGACTTATTACAGTTGGCATTTACATTCCAGATGCTACTACACTTAGTTGCCTTGACTTCCCCCAACCTTACTGACCCTGTCTCTTCTATGCACTCGTACCGGCCCACAGGAAAGAATGCCACACCTCCCGGGGTCCCCATTTTTGCGCTCTGCATGCTTACTCTAACGTCTATCTCTGCACAGCGCTGAGTGTTTGTTTTACCTTTGTGCATAAACTCAACCTGCTCTTTGTACTGCGGGGTTCCCAAATACAACAGGCACTCCGCCTTACACCATACGCGCAGCGGGTCATTCTCTCTTACTGCTGTGTCACTACACTCCTTCCAACTAAACACAGTATTAAAAAGGAACAAAGGATCGGCCCTTGCCTTTGTACAAACGTAGCAGTCAGTCATTCCATTCGTCCGGCCTGCATACTGAACCCACTGATACCAGCTGTTATACTCTGCGCGATTTAGTAGTCTATCTGGCTCTACCTCCTCGGTCTCATCACCTAGCCCTGCACCAATTCTCGAAACAAAACCTCCAGCCGCCTGTCCTATCCCAGCCACCGTCCTGTGAAACCAGTCCGTCCAATTTAGGTTAGTCTTAACTACGTCACTGATCTCTGCAGTTTTTAAATTCATTCTATCACCGTCATGCTTCTCCATTGAGTTGTCTCTCCGTACGTCAGTCACCAGTACGTCAGGATTTCGGTTTTGGCCATCCGGGACTATCAGGTCAGCCCTACTCTGTCCAGTCAGGTCAGTGTCTGCCTGATCATTCTGAATAGGATTGTCCGCTAGGCCAGCTATGTCAAGGTTGGTAGGGTTTTTCTGCTGTATTTGGGCTCCAGCATCAGTTTTGTCAGTCAGTTCTGGTGAGTCCATCAGTCTCTTTTGGATGGGCGACACCTTTATCGCAGTCCGGTCCTCTAGTTCCGAGGGCTTCAACAGTCTCTCCTGGATCGGTGACCCTCTGGATAGTGTCCCCTCTTCCAGTTCTGAGGGCCTCAACAGTATCTCCTGGATCGGTGACTCTCTAGAAGCAAGTTCAGTCCCACGTTCTGTGTGTAGAGTTCCGTCACTCTGTCCTGTTTTGTCTGGGCTGGCGGGTAAGTCCACCCGCATGCCTTGGTCCACAGTCATGTGGTCTTTTTCCTCCATCTTTATAACAGTCTCGTCTTTGTAGCCCGGAGGGTTCAATTTAACTTCACGTTCCTCAATTCCAGCAACGAAATGCTTGGTCCATCCCACAAAGTATGTCTGTGGTAATTGTCCTTTCAGTGGGTCAAATTCCACCCGTACTAGCCACACATCGCCTTTTTCCTTTATGGCAATACCACAGTCTCTTTCACCCCACGTTGACCTAATCATCTTCTTTCTCCCAAGTGACCAACCGATCCCACACAGTCGATAGTCAGAAGTTTTCACATAAACATTGAACGTGGTCATGTCATCAGTCCAGATCATAAGGGGCATTTGGGCAGTCCAGCTCACGTCTTCTTTGTATGTTCTACTAGGGTCTGTGTACGACCAATTGTCTTCTAGTGGCCATTTATCGATTGCTCTTCTATGTCTCTCGGCCAGTGGGAGTTCCTGTCCCTTCCACCAGGAAGGGACAGGAACAGGCAGGGAACTCAGCGGTACTATCATTGTCATTACCAGCACCACGAGGATCCTCGTCCCCCCCTTCCAAGGAATCGTCGCCTTGGCAGCCATGGTCATTCTTCTCCTTTTCCTTTATGGTCTTTTCCTCGTTGCCGTCAGCCGGGGCCTTGACTCAGTGGTTCAGGTGGTACCACGTCGGCGATCCCTTCACCTGCACTGCCGTTGACGTCGCGTTCACGACCTCGTAGGGACCTTCCCTCCGTGGACTATGCCACTTCCGTCGGAAGGTTTTCACATAGACCAGGTCCCCCGGCTTCACTGTAGGTGGCACCTCCTCCTCCTTTGTCTGGCTCTGCACAGAGTTAATTTGAGCAAAAATACTCCTGTGGATGTTAGACAACTGTTTCACATAGGATTTCATGTCATTTGTTAACACATCAATAGGGGGGCCCTTAGCAGCTCTGTACACCGGTGATGGCATTGGCCGACCAGTGAGCGCTTCATGCGGGGTTAGTTTTAAGCTTCTATTGGCGCTCCCCCTATAGGCCATCAAGGCAAGTGGCAGTGCATCCACCCAATTCAAGCCGGTGTTCATGCAAATTTTTTGTAGTTTGTTTTTTAGTATACCATTCGCTCTTTCAACCATTCCTTGACTCTGAGGATGATAAACGCATCCTAACCTTTGCTTGACTCCTAACTTTTGCAACACACATTTTACGGTTTTGTCTACAAATTCCCGAACGTTATCAGAGCTGATACGTCGGGGAAGCCCAAATCTAGGAAAAACCTCCCTGCACAAAAACTTTGCCACTGTGTCTGCATTCTTATTTTTTGCAGGTAGGGCCTCAATCCATCTACTAAATCTGTCAATGACAACCAACATGTACCGTTTACCTTGCACTGGTCGAATCATGTCAACATAATCAATGGTTAAATGCTGAAATGGTCCTTCAGGAGTTGGAATGTGACCGGCGGGTGGGGTCATGCCCCTGCGAATGTTACTTTTTAGACATATTTCACAGTGACTAATTACATCGTCCACGTGCTGCTGTAGTTTTGGAGCCCAGAAGTTCCACTCCCTTATCTTCCGCAGCACTTCTCCTCTCGACTCATGAGCCAACCCATGAGCCTCGTTTATCAACAGGGGCAATAACCCGGTGGGTGCAGCAAAGAGCCCTTCATGGTTTCTCCAAAGTCCTTGCGAATCCTTAGAGGCTCCTCGCTGCAGCCACAACTGTCGCTCTGCTTCTGAGACCTCTTCTTGTAACAACAGTGGATCCTTGTGTGTTAATTGTTCTTCTAAGTCTATCATGTGAGTTACCATTATGGCATGAGCACCTGCCGAAGCTGCTTGCTTGGCTGCCTCGTCAGCTGCTGCATTGCCTCTCGTGATCCACGAGCTGTCTTTGCGAAGAGCCGCACATTTTACAATAGCTATTGCTTTTGGCTTCATCATGGCTGTCAACAATCTCTTTATCTGATTACAGTGGTGGATTGGAGAGCCGTCTGTCTTCCTGAAACCTCTTCCTTTCCATGCCGCACCAAAAATATGGCACACACCGTCTCCATATGCTGAATCAGTAAAAATATTTACTCTCTTACCCTCTCCGAGCTCGCATGCGCTCGTCAGGGCCTTCAGTTCCGCTAACTGTGCAGAGCACGGCTGCTGGCAGGTCTCAGTTTGGACAACTTTTATAGCGCTGCCTTCCATACTTACAATGGCATACCCTGCTTTGAGTGCCGCCCCATCTCTGTAACAGGAGCCATCCACAAACAATGTCATGTCTGCCGACTCCAAAGGGGTTGCATTCAAATCAGACCGCAACTTAGCGTAATTTTCGGATTCAGTCACACAATCATGAGGCTCTCCCTCAAACGGTAGTGGAATTGAGTCCGCAGGATTTTTCACCTTACACACGTGGATTGTCACATCGGGATAATCTACAAGTAAATGATACTCTGTTAATCTTTGTGCCGTTAACACAAACTTTCCCTTTTCAAGTAGATTCACCAATTTATGATGTGTCATTATTTCTATGGGGTAACCCATAGTGAGCGCTGACGCTTTTTTGTATAGCAGGTGGGCTGCTGCCAGATTCTGGTAACATTCAGGTAGCCCCATTTCCACTGGGGACAATGCTACAGAGTAGTAAGCAATAGGTTGAGCGTGTGTCCCCACATTTGTTTTCTGGGTCAGCACCCCACAGGCATGATTTTGTCGGCATGAAATAAACAGTTGGAATGGTTTTTCATAGTCTGGGAGGGTTAGCGCTGGGACCTGCTGCAACAAAGTCTTGATCCTTTCAAAAGCCATATAACCTTCTGGAGTCCAGATCACTTTTCCTCTCAGGTTTCCAGCCCCCTGTTCTTTAATCATTTTTCTCAGGGGCTGGACAACCAGGGAGTATCCCTCAACCCATTCTGAACTATAACCAGTCATCCCTAAGAATGTCATCATTTCTTTGACTGTTGTTGGCCTAGGAGCCTGTGATATAGCCTCGAGCTGGGCCGGTGAGACTGATCGGGACCCCTCCCTTATCAATCTCCCCAAGTACTCAACTTGGTCTTGACAATATTGCAATTTCCCCAAGGACGCCTTATGTCCTTTTTCTGCAAGCATGGTCAGCAGAGTCACAGAATCTTTATGGCACGTTTCCAGATCAGGTGCACACAAAATAATATCGTCGACATAGCTAATTATGGTGCTGGACACTTTGCCTGACAGTTCTGCCAAATCTTCTCTCAAGATTTTATTGAAAATATGGGTACTGGTGACTTAATGGCACGCTGAAAAATGCAGAGCACAAATCAACCACAGTGAACCACCTTGCATCAGACGGCACATTTGTTAACAGTGTGTGTGGGTTTGGGACCTCAGACTGACAATCCTCAATCACTTCATTCAGGGCACGCAAATCGTGTACTAATCTGTATTTACTTTTGTCTGCTTTTAATATTGGCAATATTGGTGTGTTATTGCACGGGTTTGGCTCTTCCACCAGGACTCCAGCCTCCACAAGGCCTCAAATTGTCTTTTCAATTCCAGCCTCGGCCTCTAGTTTTAAGGGGTACTGCGGTCTCCAAGGGGGTCTGCACCCGGGTTTGAGCTTAACCTCAACTGGCTGTGCTGTCTTAATAAGCCCTACGTCAGTGTCATGTTTAGACCACAATTCAGGTGGTACAACAGATAACATCTCTTCCTTGAACTCTGAGTGTTGCTTACAGTTTTCCAAATGGCACGGGAGTCTGGTAACCTGTGGCTGAGCCCAACCCGATGAGGAGATGTCTACTTTGATATATAACTTGTCCTTGCTTAACCAAATGTTTTTGTTTTCAGTGCACATATAATCAGCTTGCATTGCCTCCTGAACCATAGGACCCAAATGCTTAACTTCATAGTCTGGATTTACTAACAATGTGACATGTGGAAGGCTGTTCTTCACCTTAAACTCTTTTTCTAAATATGCACTGTTCTCAACAACCATTGCTGCTCCCTGTTTCCCTATTATGATTGAATATGCCTTAATCTGGACTCTACCTGGCTGTTTTCTGAGCCACTCCTCTGGACATGCTTCAGACTTATCTCTAAAAAATTGTAATGTGCAATGTGCAGGGCATGAAGGTGGTGAAGCCTGGGGCAGATTTACTTTTATAAAGTCCATCCATGTGTTTGTGGGTTCCATTAAAGTCTGATCAAGATTTCCCAACCAATACACAACTTCTTCTTCAGGGTTTAGGTTTGTCCTTGGTCCCTGACCAGGCCGGACGAGCTCTGATCTGTAGATCTTGACAGAGCTTGTCCAATGTCGCCTTGAAACCGTGTTTGAATGGTAGTTCCCAAAGTACTCTGTGTACGGAGGCTCCAGGGCCCATTCCCCTTCTGCTTTCCTGCTGCCTGCCGCCACCTCCCCTCCACTGCCCCACGAGGCCTGGAGAGACATGACATGCATGAAAGTTTATTAAATCCAAATATAATTAAAATAAAAAATAAATGTACATAGTAGTTGCCGATATTTTCTACGGTTTACGTTAATCGTGAATAAACAAAGCCCACAGGTAGGTTAACCGAAGATTTTAGATGTCACTGTTTACCGGAGGTAGGGAACTCTTGGTGCGAGGTTGCCGTAACGGGCCACTGCACACACCACCAGCTACGTAACACAACCGGTAAAATGAAGATTGCCCGACCAAGCTCCCCAGTTAGTATCACTGTACTTACGATCGCCTTAGCGTCTTTTTATATAATCGTGGAATAAAGTGGTGTTTCAAGATCATGGTTTTTGCGAAAGCTCCATTTTCATTGGATAACATTAGTTCTGAACAGTCCCCTTAGTGAAGTGTTTGCAGATGAACAGATTCATTCAAAACAAGAGGCAGATCCTCGTTTGAAAAAAAAAGTGCGTTCTTCCTTCTTTGTGGCCAAATAGTGCACTCACATATTTGCACCCAAAAACAACATTTTATCCAAGGTGACACTTTTAGTCCACTGACAAAAGCAGAAAAAACGCTCATGATGCGGAAGAGGGACTGTACCATAGACATGCGCTTAGGGCTTGGGCGAGTTAATCGATTTTTATCATTAATTCGAGGTTTTACGTTGGGCATTTTTGTTTACAAAAAAATTGATTTATTATTTTCTCCAGCGCAGAACTTCCAGCGCTAAACCGCGCAAAACCGCGGGTCTAAGGCGTGTTGAGCATTTCATTTATGAAGCGAACCTAATGCTTAACAGTCTCTCCCTCTGGCCTTATGCTCGCATCTCACACAGCTGGTGCTGTTGCAATAACACTGTCAAACGTTCAAGAATCAGACTTTATTTAAATCGACGCTGCAGAACACACACACAGGACACGCACGCAGGCTCCGGTCGCTATTGTTCTCAACGCATTTTTCGTACTCCACATCTTTCACGCTCCTCGCACGCCTCGTGTATTCCCAAAGCGCACTCGTACACTCTCCGCCTACCGTGGCGCCGCACTACAACTCGTGTCCCACTGGAGAGCCGCTGCACTTTGGGGAAAGACACGTCTCCCACATGTGGCTACTCCATTGCTCTGAAACAAACAACGTGTTCCCACGCGGTCCTGTTAGCTACAGTAGCTGCTACAGTAGCTGTTAGCTACATTAAGCTACTACAGTAGCCTGTTAGCTACAGTACTGTTAGCTACAAGTATGCTTGTTAGCTACCAGTAGCTGCTACGATAGCTGTTAGCTACAGTAGCTGCTAGCTACGTAGCTGTTAGCTACAGTAGCTGCTAAGCTACATAGCTAGTTAGCTACAGTAGCTGGCTACAGAAGCTAGTGAGCTACAGTAGCATTAGCTACAGTAGCCTGGTTGCTGACAGTAAGCTGTTGCGACGTAGCTGTTGCTACAGTAAGCAGTTAAGTGCTACAGGTAGCTGTTAGCTACATAGCTGTTAGCTACAGTAGCTGTTAGCCTACAGTAGCTCTGCTACAGTAGCTGCTGTTTCTACAGTAGCTAGCTACAGTAGGCTGTTAGCTACAGCAATCCAGAATGATAAAAAACAGGACGCTCCGCACAACTAGCGGGAGTCACTGACGTTAGTATTAGCGCCACCTGCATGGACCAAGCGTGTAATACAGCACAGTTACCTCCGGCACAGTTGAAAGAACAAGCAATCGAAACCCGAGAGAGCTTTTTGGAAAAGACTGTTACAACATTCTATTTTTGAGTAATCAGTTTTAAAAAAGTGATATTTCATGTAAATAATGGCATGTGTTTAATAGATTGATATCTTTGCGATGGGCCTTGGTTTTGTGATTTAAGTTATTTTGAGGGTGCATAGTGGTCCTTGTAAGTGAAGATATTATAATACAACTCGTTAAAGCTACATTTTCACTGTTTACAATGCAGATGCCATCTCGTTTTACACGCATGTTTAAGGCTTTAATTCGCTGTTACAACTTATGCTCCAGGGAATTTAGAATTAAACTGCATAAAGGAAAATCTATGTTCCTTTGTAGTTGTAGTTTGTTTTTTAATATAGAAAAAAATAAATTCGATTAAACTCGAAAATCGGATATGGTGTGAAAAAATCGGCAGAATGTTTTTTTTTTTGCCATCTCGCCCACCCTACATGCGCTAAACTCGTCCTGCAAGATTTGCTCGCCGGTGTATTGTATCTTATTAGTGTGTTGACATCAAACAGCATATTCTTGAAAAAATAAAAAAAAATAACGGGCATTCTGCGCGACATATCAGTCACAAGGTTGAAATCGTCAACAGATTGGGTGAAGAGAAAGATCGCCTCTCTAAACTAAAGCTTGAAAGAATCAATGAAAATACTACTTTGCGCATGGTGGTCTAATCAGACCGTGTCACGATTACAAATTTTGCTGGATGATTACATTGTCTCCGAATTTATTGCGAGTAGAGGCGATCGTATTGTTGTTCTGAGATCTTTTTCCCATCTAATACAATGACAATGATGCAGGTACGCATTTTCAAAGAGAAATACACTTTTATTTTTAACTCATTGACTAGCCCATCTTCATAACAGTTACTCCCTATTGCCAGCCGTTTCTGATTATTTTTACTGATTCGTTCAAAGCCTCACAGGAATATTTGTACTAAGACTATCAGACATCCAACCAGATTCTGAAAGAATGGATTGTCTACTTTCAGATACACAAAAAGAATTTTGTTCTAGCTTGTTTCGTTCCCCTGTAATCCCCAGTCGGTAGAGGGAAGTTTACTGAAATCACCAAAAAGCTGAGAAAAAAGAGGCACCACCACTTGCATCTGGCTTTGTTGTTCAAACC